TCCTTTGCAAGAGCACTAAACTGGTCTTTAAAAAAGGACTGGCACTGGAGTAATTTAAACCAGGAAAGAGATTTTCATAGCTCTTGAGTTCTGGTTCTGCGGTACAGGTTTTCTGCTGCTTCTGCTGACAAGGGGGTTTCCATTATTCTATTTTCTACTGGTTTTATGATATTGGGGAAACATCATGTGGCATATTCTATGGGTTACTTCCTGCTGCTTACAGCTGTGGCCATCCCTTGCACCACTTACTGGCCTGGGGATATTTGGAATCTTTGATGAAATTGACAGCTGATGCTGGATGAAACTGGCCACCAGAGGAATCCATCAATTGCTGCCCATATTAAAACTGTAAAAAGTCACCAGTTTTGTCTCTGAGGGCTTGGCTGTGGGAGCAGCACATATTGTGCCAAGGATGGTAGGAATGCATAATAATGTGGGTGTCAGACATGCCAGGTGCAGGTGAAAAATGTAGTTGCAAATCCCCACTAGACAGGAGAATATTGGAGAGAGTACAATTTTATTTAAATTTAATTACTGAAAGAGGAGGGGGAGGATTGTCTGGTCTTCTTGATGCTATCCAAACTCATATATGGTACCTTTTGCCTGTATTTATACAACTGAATCATGTATTGTTCTGTACAAGAAGTACCTTTGCATTCTTTTTGTCATCATTCAAAAGATTGTTTCTGATTTATGACAACTTTCCCTCTGAAAAATAGACTTGCAAAGCAGCTTTCTGAAGTGTCAGAGGACTGTACCTTAATACCACAAACCAGAGATATCTTCAACTGATTAATTCAGGGCTGATGCTGCTTTTCCCCACACATTAGGGAACATTTGTTTTCTGATTATACATTCTGTATCTTCCTCAATGGTCTTGTCATTTAAGTTGGTTCATGGTGTTGGTGCCCACTGCCAGTCTTTAAAAATGTATTTTAAAATGCAACTTTTATGTTGACCTTGGAAATTTCTTTCAGCATTTTGATTATGTGCCACCAAGTTGGTGTTGACCTTCAGAAACCCCATACATTTTCCAGGATGATCTGCCCCCAACCTAGCCCTTCAAGTCTCCCAACAGTGCATCCATCACTTCTGCAACTGAATCTACCACCTTGCTGCTTATTGTCCTCTTCTCTTCCTTCCATTTCCCCCAGCATTTTGGACTTCTTGTACTCTGAGTGAGAACTCTGGAATGATCTGTTGCTTGATCTATTTTTTGTTTGTTTTCTTGTAGTGTTCTTAAGAGTCTTTTCCAACACCAAAGTTCAAAACTTTCAATATTCTTTCTATCCAGCTTCTTTGAAGTCCATAGAATGTCAGAGGGAAAAGCATTGCCCGCACAATTCTGAATTTTGTAACTATACACACATCATGGCATCAGAATATCTTTTTCAAGGCCTTCATCACTACCCTACCAAGTACTACTCTGTGGTATATTTGACTGCTGGTCCTTTACTCTTGATAGTCAGTTCTAAAAGAAAGAAGCAATCCACAGCTTCAGTATGTTAATTGTCAGTCCTAAGGCTGGTTGCTGTATCCATTGTCATTAGTTTGTTGTTGTTTATATTTAATTGTAGTCCCCCCCCCTTTTTTTTTACTATGGTCCTTGACTTTCCTTACTAAAGCTTGTATTTGCATTTTCCACTATCATAGTGGTGCCATCAGCACAGCACAGGTTATTGATGTTTCTTCATCCAATTTTAAAACCATGCTCATCTTCCAATCCAGCCTCCCTCAGTGTATATTCAGTATATAGATTGAATAAATAAGCGTAGAGTATACCGCCTTGTTCCACTCCTTTGCCCACCTGTAGCCAGCCAATTTCAGTGTACTCCTTCCATCTCTATGATCTTGGAATCAGTTACCATCTGTCCATTGGTATCCTTTAGCACAACACATTGAGGTTGGAACCCCCTTCTGAATTCAGAGATCTTTTGGAAATCTTTCCTTGTTTTTGTGTCAGTTTCATGTATCTTTACAGATGTCGGAATGCAGCTCCTTGTCTCTTTTAATAGCTCTTTGAAATTCTTTGGTAAGTTCCTTTCTGAGATCTTCTCTCTCTTGGCTTTGGCTTCTTATCTCAGCAATTTCCAGTGTCTGTTCTGAGGGTTTGGTTTCTTCTTTTTTTTTTTTTTTGGTGGTTGACAGTCTCTTCTCACATTCATCCTTTGATTTCACTCCACGGTTCCTCTAGTTCCCTACAATGAGGTTCAGGATTTCAATGCAATCCATAATTGTCATCCTGAAAATGGTGGATATACTGTATGCTCAAGATCACGTCATGGAGGCTACCTTCTTCTTCTTCTTTATCTTGACTTGGAACTTGCATATGAGCAATTTATGATCTGGGGCTTATGGCCATATGTTTTTATTATTATTATTATATTATGTGATTTGCTGTGCACTGCCTTTTTGCTTAACAAAAATGTTATATATAAATAATAATAAAAAGAAAAATGTTGATTCAAATAGATCAACATTTAGTGCAAGCTTTTTGCACTCTAATTTTAGTGTCTTTAAAAAATTACAATAATTGAAATGCAAATTAGAAACATTTGTTTCAAATTCTGGTTATTTTTGGTTGCAATGTAGTTCATGTGTGCATGGATATAAATCTGAATATACATTTATTTTTAAAGAAACAAGCATAGGATCAGTCTCTATGACAATATTTTTCAGACTATATATCAGAAGCTTTTATTAAGAAACAATGTTGAAAAACATGCCCAATTTCTTGGTTAAGAGCTAATTATCTTTCATAAAACTGGTATGTGGGTAAGGGAGAGGATGATGTTTTTAAGATATTCTTTGATGTGTTGATTGGAAATCCACAAGTTTCCAACCAAAGAAGGTATATTTTTATGTGCAGATATATTGGAATATAAATCAGTATCTAAAGGGTTCCCAAGGATGGAAACCTTTAAAAACTACTGAACATTCAGAAAAATACGATAGTTTAGGTTCTTCAAAGTATAAGAATAAACTTTATTGTAGGCCAGTGAATGAAGTTTCTCTCCAGGAGACTTAGTTTCAAAATTCACCTCTTCTATGGACTTCATATATGGACTATGGCAAGTCACTTTGTCAGCCCCATGTACAAATATAATACCTTACTTCATGATGTTGTGGGAATAATGACTGATTATAATTTGATCTACTCAACATATCCCTGTGCAGCATTGTTTCCACAATATGCTAATGTCAATTTCTAATTATACTCACACAGCAGCTGTTAGAAATTTCAAGCCACCTGTAGCATAGGAGCAACAATTATTTTTAAGGTGACTATGGCAGCAATGCAGTTCTTCCCCAATGAAAGATCACTGAAGAAGCATAACTTAATAGCCATCAATAGCTAGTGGTGTTACTAGTATCAAAAGCTAAGATATTGCCCCATGACTAGTCGAAGTCTAAGGGCAGCCTTTATCTGACTTTCCTCAACCTGTTTGGCCCTCCCCTGTAAGATCTATAACTGTATGAACTGGCAGATCCATCCAAGGTATTTCCATTAGCTGAGTTCAGGGATTCAACCGATACCAAACAATTTATAAAAGGTGGGGGGGAGCCATAGATTTCCCCAGGCTGAAAACCTCTTTAATTAAACAAGGTTTACTGTTAGTGAAGCCAAGATTTTAAAATGAATTTACATTGGTACCTTTTGACTTGATTTGATATTTGGACAAGATTTCCTTGAAACTTCAACCACCCACTTTGTTTCCCCAATCTAATCTACAATCTAATGGAAGTTTTGACTCATAAGCTTAGAAGCTTTTACAGAAAAATGATATTAATCCCAAAATAAACAAATTTTAAAAATCCTCTAGTGTTGAAAATACCTTGGATTAATACTGTTGATAAAAATCAAGACAGATAATACCGTACCTCATTGCAATGAATGGTTTTATAAGGTTCTTTAAAATGCCACATGAAAAGATTGCTTCAAGACAGCAAAAGACCATTAAAAGAGATGTGCAGTAGAATCGTGATTTTCAGATGATTTTTTTTAATATTAATTACATTCTTTACAATATGCCCATTGCTTATTCATCTTTTTACTAGGAGCCATATTCCTACATATTCCAGCTTTGCTCAGGTGGGAGTCCATAAGCTAAGAAAACATTTTTGTGCCAGTAGGCTGATTTCTCAGCGGTAGATACTTCATGCCTTGCCATGAAATTTATGGATGGGCTTCTTTTATTTACTTGCTGAAAAAAATCCTCTCTGGAAAGGAGATGCTGCTAGAAAGAATAGCATGCTTTGCAAGCAAGTCTTTTTCAGGACAGGAGCAGGGCCAACTAGCACAAAATGCTTTGACTTCAAAGATGTTCAATGAAATCTGGAAATTATCCTGTGTGAGTTACACTGAGGCAAAGAACAGGGTTGCACAAGAACACTGCTATGTGTTGCATAGCTTCTGTGTATTCCCGTGCAGTTTATGCAAAGTACATAACAGCTTTATACTATGACTGGATCCCTCACTTTCCTTTTCTGCTGTCCCTTATAACACCCAAAATCTGCCATCTCAGCTACTGCATTTCATTTGGCTCAGGGGTGGCCCATTTCTGATTGTGATTGAATAAAAGAACTAACAATCCCATGCTATTCCTAAAGTACATTCATTCTGTAGCTTTATTTGAATTTTAATCTTAGTCATGGATATGCACTAAGCCAGTTACTACTTCTTAGTCATCCAGAATCAAGAATTAGCTTTCTTGGGCAGCAAAACAACTTTCAGACCTTCCACCTTTAGTTTTGTACATTCAGATGTCTCTCACCTTTGGACAGATGATCCCAGATCTGAGGTTGAGTCTAATTTAGACCAGAAACAAACTACAAGCAAGTTCTGAAGCTAACTTTTGATATTTGGAAATACTCATGGCTTTCTTGGTTCCTTGCAATAACAGTTTTGCCAATATTAAAAATAAACCAGAAAAGTAAAAAAGATCTAGAACATTTCTCTTCAGAATTCAGATTGTATAAATTTCCGACAGCCCTTTTCATTCTCAAAACTATTGATATTTGAAAGGTACAGTATCATTCTTCTATAGCTTTCTGTAGCAGTCTAATTTGTCAAGTTTCATAAGTGATTATTTTTGGACAGATAAGCTATGAGTGCTACAGCAACCCCTACATAGATGCCTGTTCCAATGGTGATTGATAGCACAGCCAAGAAGAGAGCTCGCCGTGAACTGGAGCTTGCTTGGTGGAAATCCCCTTTAGCAATGGCTTTGTTTGTCTGCAAGAATAGAAAAGGTTTGCATTAGTGAGCCTGAATATGGCAGCTACTTGACAGGAAACAACATGAAGAGATTTGATAAAGAATAGGAGATTTGGGATTTTAACTGCTGCCAAGATAGAAACAGCCAAATATTGTAGAGGTCATATCTACCCAGCTACTAAATCTTAATATAAGTGATACAGAATCAACACATCATTGACAAACTGTCACACAAAGTAAGGGTTTCTTAAAACATCCTAATTTGTAACTTTTTAAAGGGGAGGGGGCACATAAAGAGCAATCATACACATGTACGGCTGTTACTTTTAAATCTCAAATAGCCTTGACATACTTTTAATAATTTATTTTCTACTACAATGTAATACTCAACTTGGTTTATTATGTCTGTTTCTTGTACGTGGTTATGATGCAACTTTATCTTCTGTCAATTGTTTATCTGCTAACTGCTGTTCAAAAATGAAAGGGTTTATATTTTTAAAAAAGGAACATATTTGCCAATTGTAATCTAATGAAATGCTAATCCTAAAACAGTACGTTTTGCTCAAGAGCTGACTTATAACACTATTTTACAAATACACTGTGTTTTAGCAATGCAGAAGGAATTGTTAAATGTGCAAATGGCCATGCGCCCCATTTAAAAACAACCCCAAAAGGTTTCAGTAATACATTGGCCCTGTCCTTACTTGCCACTATAGGCAGCATAATAGGCCATTCTTCTGTCTCAATCACACAAAGTTGATCTCATTTTTTACTGCAATTCATAGGTGAATTTTGCATAAAACAGAAAAAAGTGAACTTATGATTTATGGTTTTGATTATTAGACAGGCTAGATTATAGAAAGAAAAAAGTCATGTAACCATAGAGTAAGAGGTAAATTTATAATTGTACTTATAACTGCTGTAAAGATCGGAAGCTACTTCTTTCTATTTTTTCTTTCTTTTCTATTTTTCTTTTCCTTTCTTGCACTTTTAGCTTTCTTTCTGATTTCTTTCTCTTTCTTTTCTTCTTCTTACTTTCTATTAGTTTGTACTAGCTTTTAATCTTCCTTTTTAAAACTATATACGTACATACATACATACATATACACACACACATACATACATAAGAGTCAATACAACCAAACTAGTTCTAAAAAGCACATTCACCATTAAGCACTGGCAAGGGGCACAATCCTTTAGAAGACTCTGCACAATGCTCACAGAAATGAAAAGTAACTGCATAAGAGCATTTGGGGGCTGGTAGAACAAATAAATTATTTTCTTCACCTAATTAGTTGAATTTGAAGGAAGCAGGGGTGGATTTTATGTAAAATAGCTGTGAGCAAGGCAGTGCTGGAACTGAAAATAAATCTTAAGATTAGAATATATTCAACTACACACACACATGCAAACTTAAAATTAATGAGTAAGCTGTCTTTAGTTAGTGGATCTTAGAATTTTGTTTTTAAAAGTAAATCCCCTCTGAGGAATTAAAAGACAGCAAAATCCTGGTCTAGAACATGCTCTAACTCTGAAGTAGCCAAGCTCAGTGCAGATTCTGCCACCAGAGACATCCATTTCATACAGTTGTGGTAAAACCCCCATCTCTCTTTTCTTTGCTGTCCTGAAGGGCATTTCTGCAATAACTATGCATTTCAACTCTCCTTTTTTGAAAAAAATCCCATAGTGAGACTATGGTTGGCATCAAAATGACTGATGAGCCAATTTAAAAACCTCTCCAGGCTGAAATGTTTTCAATAGCAGACTAAGAACTTTAATAAACAAAAGTCACAGCAAGTACAAGAATGCTAAGTTGAGAACCCTTCATCATTAACAGCACAGGGCAAGCCAACTTGTTCAGCAGGAGATATTAGTAGAGACTGCAGTGCAGGTCCCTTGCAAAGGCCTTAGATCCTTCATCGCTGATCATTCTTCATTGTCTCTGCTATTCTCATCTATTTGCATAGGATGTCTCTGTGATTCTATGGGTTTCTCTGCAATTCTGTATTTGCAGTGTATAGAAAATATATTCTGCTGTGAAATCAAAATATCAAGCTTGATGGCAATTCAAAAAAATATGCTTTACATGCTTGTATGGGCTAAATATCTTCATGAGTGAAGTTCTGCAGTGCATCAGCAGAAGGAAGCTAATTGCTTAACCTATATTTGAATAGCCGTATTCCTATTTATTTATTTCTAACACATCTAAACAGCCTTTCCATGTTGGTTGAGGAATTATGGAAATTGTTTTCATACCTTTTCAAACCAATACCTTTGAAGGCAATAGGTTGGGGAAGGCTGGTCCAAAGTAGGTATTCTACAGTTACATAACCAAGGTAAAAATCATAGACTGGGTTCACATATCATGACATATCATTATTTGAATCATGGTTTGCTGAAGAAATCAGAGTGGCTGGTTCATATAAGGTGCTACAGCTTTCACACCAGAAAGGCCAAGGTTACTTCCCAAGCCAGAAGTAAACAAATCACTTTGTAGGTGAACACAATACATTAAAAGTGAATGTTTCTGGACTAATACAAAAATTGCTTGAGATTCATGCATTCTTATGAGATGGAAATATATATGTGAATCCAATTTAACAGATGGCTCAATTCATGCCATTCCTATTTCTTTTTCCAGTCCAAAATAAATTTATTTTTTAAAAGCAAGGATAAGCAAAAGAGATTGACTCACGTACAATAGAAATGAAAATGAAGAACATGTCAATTTAAAACAGATGCTGGTTGCAGAGAGCGAGAAAGGATGATCAACTAGTAAGAAACAGTAAGCAGGGCAAGGTAAAAAGAGTTGTGATTTTCAGCTGCTGATGTCTGGCAATCACATCTTCTATTGGAGGAGCCATAGGACAACTGGTCCCTGCAGGGAACTCTGGGAATACTTTGGATCAAATTATACCCATTGGCTAAGCACCAGAACATTTTAGGATTTATGTGGCTGTGAAATGAATATACAGACATTAACATGAATAGGGCAATCAATATTAGACCTGGGAAGATAGTGTAGAAGGACTAGAGTGACATGCCCAATATCATAAGGCACTTAGGGTAGAATAGGGACCGTACTTTATAGGAATGTGCTTTAGGAAGATTTCATCCCTGAACTAGACCCAGACATTCTGGAAACTAGAAAATATTCCTAACAAATCTGCAAAAAGTGACAAAACACCAACAGAACCTATTTAAATGATGTAGTTAAAAGCGCTACTTATAGTGTCTAAGCAGCTATGGAAAACACAGAAATGGCCGAATAACCTGAAAAAGAACAATTTGTATTCCAATACCAAAACAGGGCAGTGCTAAAGAATGCTCAAAATACCATACAATTGCACCTCTCTCACATGCTAGTAAGATAATGCACAAAATTTTGCAATTCACGCTTCAACAATACATAGAACAAGAACTGCCAAACAGGATTCAGAAGAGGCATCATGAGACCACATTGCTAATATTCAGTAAGTAGTAGAGAAGGAAAGGGAGTTCTAAAAAGACATATATTTCCCCCTTATTGAATATACAAGGGCTTTTACTCCGTAGACCTCAACATACTGTGGATAGCCCTTAAATTTCTGGTAATCAGCCATTAGAAAGGAATATGGAACAACTAAATGGTCCAAAATTGGAAAAACAGTGCACCAAGAATGCATACTGTCATGTTATGTTTTAATTTATATGCAGAATATATCATGAGAAATGAACCAGAAAAAATAGAAATTGGAATTAAAATTGCTGGGAGAAACATCAACAACTTCAGATATGCTAATGGTACTTTGATAGATGTTTTAGAGTATCTTGCTGAAAATAAAAGAGAGTGCAAAATTTGTCTGTTGCTTGGTATAGTATTAACAAAAGATTATTTCAACAGGCAGTATTAATCCAGTGCAAATAAGCACAGAAGAAGTAGAAACAGATTTTATCTTGCTAGACTTAAAAATTCATGGGGATAGTGGCTGCAACCATTAAATAAAGAGGTGTCTACTACTTTGGAGAAAGTCTGTGATAAATCTAGACAAAATATTAAAGCGCAGAGACATCACATTGACAGTAAAGGTATGTACTACCAAGGTTATGGGTTTCCCATTTGTAACATATGGCTGCGAAAGCTGAATCATGAGAAAGGTTGAGTTGAACAAAGGAAAATTGTGGCTTTGAAACATGATGCTGGGAGAATACGTTGAACTGCAGGAGAATAAATCATTCAATATTAGATGAAGTAAAACTAGACTGCTCACTGGAAACTAATAAAGAAGAAAACACTTTGATAAGTTGGAACATAATGTGAAGGTGAGAGTCATCGGAGAAGACCTTGATGCTTAGAAAAAGCCGGCTGAACAAGAGGCTGAGAAAACAAGGTAAATAGATACTATCACTGATGGCGCAAGCTTAAACTTGTAAGAATTCAAAGAAATAATGTCTGTTGGGTCAAAAAGATACAGACGTGACTGAATAACAATAATTTAAGGATGCAAAAAACTTCGGCATGAGAGAAAAGGTAAGTCAATTACAAATTCACTCATGTACCAACAAGGATGGAAAATATATATGGAAACACTCATTTAATGTATATGTGATGAAAGCAATAACTGAATTCTACAGCTATTCCTGCCTGTTTCATATCCCCCAAATGTGTTAGGACCAATTCTCAGAATTACCTGGGAACTGCACGAGTTTCATTCCCAACACATCAGAACATATTGGGAAGGCTATTTTTCAACCTTGTATACCACTTACAAATTAGCCCCCAAGGGTTCACAATTTTGCTGGTGCTTTCTCATGCATATTTAATCAAAAGTAAAACTAGTAATGTAAATCAAAATTTATTATGGCTTTGTGAGCTGTCCAGATTTGTGACATATAAGATGGGTGGCCATACAAATCTTTTAAATGCATACAGGACATACATACATACATAATTTTTTCACATATTTGTGAAAATGTGGCATTTTGATTAGTAATAAAAGCACTGTTCAACTGTGACTGTTTTCTTTTTCCTCGTGGACCAGCATGTTTAAATATATCTATCCAGTTTTCTTTATATTATCATCTCTATACTAATGGGATAGTGCCTATCTGCACACAATGCTAAATGGAATAACAAAATTGTACAAATACCTCATGTGACAAATAGAAAGCAGCAATTCCCAATGGCCAGAAACAACAGAGCATGGAGAACACACTGAGTCCAAGATGATCCCTGGGAGGCATCATAAGGAAATGGTCTTCACTATCAGTGTCACTTGAATAATCACTCTGGAACAGTAAGAGAATAGGACCATGAAACAGATAAATATTGAACCTGTTAGAAATCATAAATAGACTGAATGGATAAAACAAGAAAGATACGTTGGCCAGCAGCCGAAACACTTGAGATAGTCAACTTGTGTTGGGTTCAGATAATACTTCATCTGTGTAACATGGGATACTCTTGCATGCAAAACAATGTTTTAACAAAATCCTTGCACTGTGGCTGTAACAGTGCTTGAACAGCTCTTGAAGTAGATCAGGTTGGAAGCAGGTGACATTGAGACCCTGAGACACAGATATTTGAAGTCAGTTCACCCTGACTGGTGATTAGTGGCTACAGAGACACTAAGCAAAATAAACAAGGCTAGAGAAAATTGGAGAAATTATATCTAAACTGGAAATGTACCAGTTTTCCCTTACTTAAGGGAAAAAGCAGCAATATAAAATAGTGCTAAGATACAACCACTGTCTAGACTGCATAATATTTATACTCTTACCTCTACTCCTACTTCTATTGGCCAACTACACAATTTCACTCAGTGTATACATTTAATTTCATTTCACCCCAAGGAGCATGCAGGAGGAATACAACTCCACAAAACTGTTTGTTTCTTTGTTTATTTAATAGAAGTTATTCACTGTCTCAATCTAGTCAGACTCTAGGCACTTTACAGTAATGCAAATACAATAATAATACTATAAAAATAATATAATTTAAATAAAATACAAGCCAATTTCAATGTTGATGGCTCTGCAATCAACCCCAAAGGTCCTTCAGAAGAGCCAGGTCTTCACCAATTTCCAAAATGCTGTAAGAATGGAGGCCAGCCTCACCTCAGAGGGCAGGCTGTTTCATGGCGGGGGGGGGGGGGAGCCCTCACCAAGAATGCCCACCATCAGGCCCCCTCCTGTAGTACCTTCTGGTAGGTGGTAACCCATAACATGTTAACTTAGGCCATCCCAGCCAGGAAAGCAAAATTTACTTCAGAAAGGCATCTCTTATTACTGAAGATCCAAGCCATATAGAGTTTTAAAGGTGGTAAGCAGCAGACTTTATATTGAACTTGGACTGGAACCCAGTACCTATCCCCAACAATCTAAGTCTAAGCCCAACAATACCAAGTACATTCTGCTTACTCTTTAGAGTGCTTATGCATTACACATCTTAACAAAATGCCTTGAAATGTGTAGAACTGCTTTGCTTTCAAATGTGATTGGTCTACATCTCTCATCATTCCAAGGGTTAGGGTTACTTGATCTACTAATTAGGGATTATGGGATCTGTATTGGGGATACCAAGTTGGGGAAGGCTAATGAAGAACAATCTGCAAGATATTGGTTTAGATTGATAAACCGCTGGAGTATTTGATGGGCTTGCCAAGAGGGGACCATAGAAGATATCTGAGTGACATTAAGAATAAGGACAAGAAATAATGTAAGAAGGGTATATGAGATGAATCCCAGTAAAAGAGGATAATTTGACTGCAAATAGGAGTTCTGATCTGTATCTTGAAATGATATAGCTCCTGGGACATGCTGCTGACAGTGACAATGTCAAACCCAGCATATTTCTTTAAAAAGTAACTTGAATGTATATGTTAGCTGCCAACAGACTGAAAAAATGTTACTTATAAAAATGTTCTTAAACTCCAAAGTGAAATTAAGGACAGTACTGCCAAAGAGGCATTTGGGAGATGGCCAAGTGAAGGGAAAGACTTGAATATTTTCTTAATTTTAAGTGATTTGAAATTGAGCCACAAGGGACTTAAAAAAAAAAGTGAAGCTTTTATCTTACTTACTGGCAGGAACAATAAAAAAGCGAAGTAATTTCATTAACTGACTACTTCAATTCAGGTAAGCAAACAGTAACTGCATCCCATTTGAATGTACTGTACTGACTACTAGCATTTTAGCAATCCTTGTATTCAAATGTATTCAACAACAGCTGGCTTGCCAAAAGCTAACCACCTCTCCCACAGACATCCAATACAAACCACCATGGGGAAAAAATGACAACACCTGTATCACTGCAGTCAGCACTGCAGCACAAAGCCCAGCCTTTCATACTTGATCCCAACATAAGACACAGTATGCACGTCACATGGTTTGCATCATAACATTACGGTGCACATTTTGTCCTGGCCCCTTTGTAAACATTTATCCTTCTTATCGTCTCTCAGGTGGCTTCAACGTATCTTGCTTCTCCATTTTTGTTTTCATTTACATTTTTAAAACATTATTTGTGCATGATTCTATTTCCCATGTAGAGACACAAAGCTGGTTTCCAATTGTGGGTGCCTCCCTGTGATGTTTTAACTTCTTGTCTCTGAAATGATAGTGATGTCCTTGTTTGCTTGAATGAAAATGTCTTAAATCAGTAAAGATCTGGAACAAAATATTTTTCAGTTTCATGCAAACTTCATTTTTTTTTTGCATTTTAATTAATGAGTCCATAGTATGTATATTATCCTTGTATTCGTAAAAACAAAAAGTGACTTTTAAGGGTTGTTTTTGCTACTGCAAAAAATATTAAAATAGAAATCCAGACAGCATACAGACCTACAGTACTTGTTTTTGTTTTGTTACATTTTGTAATTTGTTCCTTTTTTGGTATTGAACTTTTTGTTGTATGGGTGTTAAATGTATTGCTGGAGCAGAGAAAGATCTTTGGAGCAACACTGGCCAACTAACTGTTTAACAAAAGTGTCTGTCAAGTAATGAGTAATGTTATTGAAAATGAATGGGCATTTAGATAAGAACATCAATTCTGTACAAACTTACTACAGTACTTAAGTGTGTAAATCAAGAATGGATACCAGTTATCCATCCGGATTGTTGAGTGGCATCAGCCCTATCCGGCATGGTTAGTGGTAAGGGACCACAAGAACTGCAGTGCATCCCTGTTTTAAATACACTTTCTATAGAGATCCAATGGCAATTACAACTACCAGATTACAGATAACAATCTGGCAAAGTTAAATGTTCAGATGCTAAACAGGTGTTTATGTTTTCCTGTTAGCCTATTGTAATAAAAATAATATTCTTATGGCACCTTAAAATCTAATGAATATATTACAGCATAATCTTTCACAAACATCACAAAAATGTACAGGGACATCACAATAAATACCTTAGGAACAATACACCTGTTTGTTTACTAAATGCCCTCAACTGAAATCAGCTGATTTCCACTGCATCAGCTGGTTTTTACTTTGGATTGTTCCATAAGAGAAGGAGGGGACAAAAGACAATGATTATAAATATCAAAAGGACAAAATGATAAATGATTTTTTTTAGCTCACATTTACTATGTACAATCTTGTCAAGATGGAATAAATATATTAGGGCAGAGGTGATAAACTGTTTTGGAAAGTAACAATTCCTCAGAATATGCTGGCAATGGGTGGAGCCAAATCCAACAGTGGGCATGGCCAGAACCTAAAGTAAGAAAGCCACCCCTATTTATTTCCTCCTAATCCAACAGACTGCAGGGATGAGATTAATTACCCTTGCTAGAATTTTTGACATTAGGTCAACAGACATGCATAACTCCTGAATTGTTTCCCACTCCTAATTTAGGTGTTTCCACAGTATATTTCATAAACCCAAATAAAGGATTTAGATAAAAAAGCAGCTGTTGGAGAAACATTTGATAATATTTCACTTTACAGTATGCACAGTACTAACTACTCACATCATATAACTTTGCTTTAATAGTTGTGTTCTAACTGAGCTTTTCAATACAGAACAATGGATATATGGCTACATTTTGTCACAAAAGCAACATGGCACTTCTTATGCTGCTTCAGTAATGTCTGAATCCTATTCCATTCCATACTGTGGTCTGAATTATGGAATTTTTTCTCTTTATCTTTTTTGGACTTTATTTTTGGGTATAATTTTTGCAGTTTTAAGAGATGAACCAAATAAATAAAGCAAGATGTTTTGAAGATCGTAAGGGCTGATTTGCACATATAAGCATATCAGCTGATCTCTTAGTTTAATTCCTTCATATGAATCATGAAGTACATCATAATCTTCTGGTGGATTGGCCAGTTTCTTCTCTTAGCTATGGAGACCTCCTAAGAACTTGATCCCAGGAAACTTTTCTTATGTCCTAAGTATCAGTATATCTCAGTTTAGAGAGATTAGATTTCCCCTAGCTATACTGATTTTGTGTATTTTCATGAAAACACAATCACAGAAACATAAACATACAAGAAACCTGTCCAGGTACAGTTATTTAGAACATGAAAGTTTACATGATAAGCTTGCAGCTTATCATGTAAACCATACCTGATACATTTTTGTTTACAAAGTTACAGGAGCTCTGTACTTTTCCATATTAATCACTCTGTTGTTAAAAACAGCTTTCCCACCTCTATTTCTGCCGTGTCCCTCAGCCCAGCAAATAGGGCAATATTTCCTGAACTTCTAGAATCAGAGGAGCCCTTTCTTTCTGAATTAGTACTGTCTACACAATTGACTCTTGCATCCTAAAAGGTTCAGCCTGCACAAGAAGAATTCATTGTTAATTAGGGTTTCCTGCCCACACCTCCCAATTCTGAATTTGGCTTCTGATGAAAATGAAGCCAACCAGGCGAAATGGGCGCTATCTTTGTGCATGGATAATCCTCTTTCTCCCTGCACTGGGACTACTGTACATGAATGATGCAATCACACTTGCTGCAGCAAAGGAGATGAACAGGAAGAAAATAACAGTGACTCATCCAATCAAACAAGCCTTTTCTGTGGGTGGGCACTATTTCATTATTTAAATAATGTTAACACTTTTAGCATGTTTTAAAACAGAATGTATCCTACCACAATTTATCCTACCATATTGTTTGCAACTGACAATACACCAACAAAATTTCCCTGACCTCTAGTTCCTGGAAGTCGTCATCATCATCTTCTTCTTCTTCTTCCACGTCATAGGAGAGGGTCTGGATCTTTATCTCATCTGTGGACAGACTGACAAATTTGCCATCAGGATAATCCAGGCAGCCTTTGGTGGGTGACTTGTCCTCAATAAAGGTCGTTTCACAGCATTCTGCACTCAGGCTTTCTCCCCACGATCGTAGCATGCTCTCTGAATAGAGGATGATGTTTGGATGATAGCGGGATTCTACTGTCTGTGGCAGAGTACTGGGGTCAAGAAGCTGTTGTATCGGGTCATTTTGGGAGTAGTTTGGGGAGTAGAGAGTCCCAACTGGCCGACCCTGATACTGAGCAGCTGGGTACACAGACACCAACCCCTCCCTGTTTTCAGCCATTAAGTTCCTTGTGTTAATCAACCCATTCTTCTTCTTGGTGTCAATTGCCTTATTATGCTTATTAAGCACACCTTTCTGCTTAACTAAGCCATCCATCCTGGATTCCTTTTCCTCTATTGTATCAACGAATTGTCATTCCTCTGATAAATATCACATAGAAAAAAATTATTCCATTTTCCTGAGGCAGAGAGAGAAAGGGGGGGGGGAGAAAGAACGCTCATTATAGAAGAGAAATAAGCATCCACCTTTATGCCAATCTGATACCAGCTCTTAACAGTTGAAAATAAATTTAGCCCTTGCAGATGCAAATCATATTTCTGAAGCATTTGGTACAAATGCTCATTGTTAGTAAACTGAAGATAGAACTGAAAATTATTTCACAATAGAGAAGTTTTTTACATCATTGGACAGTTAATGCAGCATAATGTCCAAGAGCCAGAGAGGTGGCCCATGAAGCATCTGGCTCAAATCATACCTCTGAACTAGGCCTTAGACAAGCTAATACCTTTCAGACATTCTTATATATGCAAAATAATACTAACTTACATTTAGAGGTATTATAAAATATAAATATATAAAATAAAATAGAAAGGAATATACTTTGCAAGAGGTAGAATACAAACATTCCATCAAATGCTGTCCCTCTTTAAAAAAAAACTGCAACTCACTAATTCATTTTACAGACTTAACACTGTAGAATCCTTGGGGTTCTCTGAGCTTGGTTGTTTACTTGCAGACGTTTCATTATCTGACTAGATAACATTTTCAGTGCTAGAAGGGAGTGGGGTTTGGTCTCTGTTTATATACAGTGGCTTGCCCTGTCAGTGTTGGTGGGGGTGTTGTTTTTTCCCTGGTAGTTCCTAGATTAGGTTGTTGTTTACTGTTTGTCTGGGTTGGTAGTTCCTTGATTAGGGTATTGTTTACTGCTTGATTGTTTGGTGTTCATCCTGGTGTTCATCCCTGCATATTGTTGATTACTGGCGAGGAGGTGTTCTGATCTTTTTGTTTCCTTTTTATTGTCTTTTTTGAATGCTGTATAAATGTTTACCTCTATGTGCCTGTTGATGGCTGCCTTGTCTGAATACCAAGCTTCCAGGAATTCCCTCGCATTTTTTGATTTAGCTTGG